AGGGTAACTGCGAGCCTGCCCCCCTTCCTTCTCCACCTGCTCCCTCTTGGGCCCCACCAGGCACTGGAACCCATTGCCTCCTCATTGCTCTCTCAGCCCACACCAGTGTGGCCCAGCTGATGAATGGTGGGTGTCCGCGTGTCTGCTTACATCTCACTTCCCCAAGAAGCCTTCCTGATGCCACACACTAGGCGAGGTCTCCCTGGGCCGTGCTCCCAGAGTGTCCTGCTGTAGCCTCTGGCTCTTCAGGAGTCAGTCACTGGGCCCATTTTCTGTGTGTATTGTCCACGCCACCTTCCCTGGTAAACTGCAAGTACTGTGAGTGAGTGGGCCTGTCCTGGGAATGGCCCTTTCACCAGAACTTCATACTGCACATGGCAGGCAATGGGCTTAGTGAGTTGATTTGTGTGTGGGTGTGGGTGAGTGTGTGTTTGAGGTTTTGGCACTGAACCAGGTTACATTAATTACAAGCAACTTGGTACATGGTGCCCACTATGCTGACGCTAAACTAATGCTGAGCTAAAACTAATGACTAGTCCCCTCCTAGGGAACTCTAAGAACATCAGACTATTTAAGCCCAGCAAAGAAAGATCTGATACATTTTCTCATATAACCCCCATTAATAATGAATTTTCCATAGCCTCTCTTCACTTTTCTCTGTAAAGGATTTTAAAGCTCAAATGTGAGAGTAGTTTAATGAAATAAAGAATGATGGTATTAGGGTAACTACAACTCATATTTAGAGAGAATTCATGAGCAGCTAGTTTGCATGCTTTAACTATGACAGATATGTGCACAAATAAAATTTCCATAGATTGGAAGTGGTGGAAAATGATATGAAAATGGAATAGGTTGCAATAGATATAAATTAGTAAGGACATAGTTTAGATCATGCTACTTGTTTTATTTTAATGTTAATAATGATTACAAATGTTGTAATAATGCATTAAGTATTTACAATAATTATTTAAGTAGCCAAAAGAAAATTTTAAAAAGAGGTAAATAATTTCCCATCATTGTTCAAAGTATATTATATTAAACAATGGTTGACCAGTACCTATAAGGTATTAATTAATTAGCAGTCTCCTATATGAGAGGTCTAATCTGAGAATCTGAGGGAATCTACAAGTCTGTGGATTTATACATCTCTAAAAAAGATGAAATAAATATTACATAAGAATTATTGCTTTTCTTCAAGAGACAAGTTTCTAGTATAACTAAAATAGAAAATGATCCAGGCAAATTAGCACAATGTATGGAAAATTCAATACAGTTCACAGCAAGTTCATTAAAAAAATAGGAAATATAAATAAGTAGTTTTAAGTAATGTTAACAAGGACTTCTGCTGTAAATGTGAAGATACAGATACACACATACACATACACATACACACATATATATATGCAACTCCATAGAGATACAGTTACTGAATTTAAAACATGTATATCCACTGGCTAATTAGAAAACAGTGTGAAATAGATCATTTTTAACTCCCCACCAGGGAGATTCCCCTCATTGAGGCATTGTGGGAGAAATCAGTTATTTCTACAGCATTCCTGAGATACCCAGAGAGGACATCCCTTAAAAGAAAGGCAGCACTATCATAGGTAAATACAATCAATGAAAGGGACAATCCACAGGAAAATGTTTAATTAGTTACTGATGAATTCCCTTTGCATTTAATATCTCTTGTCCTATCTGACTTCTTATAGAGACAGTGAATTAGGAGGTACAATAGCAATTTCTTATCTGACATCCATGAGCAGATATGTCTCTTTCCTTTCAAGGGGAGTCCAGACATGCTGCCCTCAAGAAACATTCATACTCTAATTCCAAAATCACTTAAGCACACCCATTTCACCTCAACGCTGCGACTTCCTATGTTGATAATTCTATAGAAAGAATACAAGGAAAGTCAGTAAGACAAACATATCAAAAATATGCCTAAACCCTATAGAAATTAAAGAAACAAAAACAGAATTTTCCAAAGGTAGGTAAAGATAAAAGTTAAGGAGAAAAAAGAGATTGCTGTAGATTTAAGAATATTACTGTGGCAAATTGATTTTTGGCTCTGGCTGTTGACCCCTCCCTGCGCCCATGCTTTCACATATAACTGTAGCTTTTCTTAAAAAGAGAGATATTTCCCCAACCCCTGGGATACAGCCTAGAAGTTGCTTTGGCCAGTGGAATGTGGGCGCAAGGGTTTGCTGGTTCTGCACAGCTTCAGCAGCAGCACTGTGGTTCTGCTAGCCCTATGGCTCTTCTGCTATTGCTTGAGAAGACCAGGGGACACCCGCAGGGCCGAACTCAGCCTGACTCACAGTGAGGAGCCAAGACCTGCCAGACCTGCCCTTAGAAGCAAAGCCACCAAGCCAAGCCTTGTCTGGATTAGCCATCCCCTACCTGATCTTTATTATTATTGAGATTAAACAAATGTTTGTGTTTGAATGCCACTGAAATCTGTGATTATTTGGCACATAGCATTTCTGTGACAATAGCTAAGTGATACATTATAAATTACAGTGAGCCAAAGGGGTGTGCTTTCCCCTTTAGGAAACTGAAAGAATATTTCCCTCTTCCCAAGGCTGACTGTTCATTCATTTACCAGGAAAATCAGCAAATTTGCATCTGGTTGAGAGAGTGTGACATCCAGTGAGTTCATTCTAGGCTGGCCACTGACTTACTCTTTTCCTCACTGTACTAACAATTGTATTAACTTGCAAATGTTTACCCTTTCCTCTCATGTGTATTAATGGCTATATGACTTCATCTGTAAACTTGTGGAATTAAATTAGATCAGTGGTCCTCAAATTGTTCTTTAGGGCCCATTGTTCCAGGGAGGGGTTTGGAGGACATGGTGTGATGGAAGGAGGACAGGAAACTGAACAGTTGGAGTGCTGACCTTCAATCAGCAAATCTCTGCTCTGATCTGTTTTTAAATATCAAGATTTTATTCAGAATTTTTTTTGTTTTAATGTTTAAAAGGTAAAGTTACAAACTACTGGACAAAATGCTTTTTAAAATCTTCTCACAGTGAAAGCACCATAATTATGTTTTTTTGTCTGACCACCCCCTTCTCTTCATCTCTATTACCATGGCCCTAATTTAAGACACCATCTTCTGAACTCCTGTGATAACGTCCCAACTTGACCCCATGCATTAGGTATAAATTGTGTCATTTCACTCCCCTGCTTAAAACTAAAGCAAAACCGCATGTAGGGGGGCCTCTGGGCTCCGCATCTCCACAGCCTCATTTCCTCTTCTCTTCCCCCATCTTTCTTACAGGGTTAAATCACACTCACCCCCTTCCTACCTCAGAGACTTCTCACATGCTGGTCCCTCTGCCTGGAATGCTCTTCCCTTACTCTTCAAATGTCAGCTCTTATTCCTCAATTCTCAGTTTCCAAGTTATTCCCTCAGAGAGGCTTTCTCTGATCACCAAACTAACGTAGGTCCCTTCTGTCCCCATTATTCTCTATGACAGCATATTGTCTTGCTCCCTTCTTTGCACCTATCATGGTTTATAGTTACAGGAACATCTGTTGATTGCCTTTATTATCTGACTTTCCATTGAGTATACAAGCCCCACCTGGCCAGAGGCTGAGTTGTCCAGTTTATGTTTGCATTCCCAGTACCCAAAGCGTTGCCTGGCACATAGTATATGCTCAATAATATGAATGAATAAAATTTCTTACCTTTTATCAACATGTCTTTTTTCACCACCTTTACACCATATAGCATTTTCCTGCAAACATGTGATCCCAGTCTCTGATATGCTTATAGCTGTTCTCTCTCTCTTGGTTACTTCCCTTAATTGATGTATAATGTTCTTTATACTCCTGCACGTGAGATTTTCCTCTTTCAACTTGTTTTATTCATCACACTGCCTGTGATTTGATCTGCTCTGGGACATTATTATCAAGCTGACCCCAAATCTTAGAATTAGATTAAACCTGGAATGAACTTAACAAAAGCGATTACCCCAGAAATGGGATCCCATACCTACAGAAGTAAATGCTCTGTGCCATTTAACGTAAGTGAGTAAAGAGTTTGAGGAACACCCAAATTTCAAGCAAGGTGACCAGGATATAGTTTCAGGAAAACAGTGACCAAAGTTATAACCTAACTAATTTCATTATTCTCTGCCAGAAGGAAAAAAAAAAGTTGTATGCTTTGTGGATAGTCTAGAAAACAGAGACACAATGAACATGAAGGTGGAGTGGTTTCCCAGCAATAGCCAGAGTAGAGACAGCAGACCCGAGGCATGGTGACCATATGGTCACTAGAGAAGGGTAGGTGGCAGGGGTGATGGTTTGACCTAAGCTCCCACTACAGTCTGGATGTTCTAGGAGTAGACACAAGGCTTTCGGCTACTGGAAAGAGAACTCTCTCCCTAGAAGTAAAAAAGTTGGCATTTTGTCTTCAGCCAAAATGTTTCTAGTGAGTTTGTTGGGTATGAGTCAACTTACAGAACTTCTAAATATTCTGGGTTTACAGAAATCATGTCATTTCTTGATGTATAAAGCTAAGACCCATACCCAAAATGGACCTTAGGGTATGTATGGATCAGAAGAAAAATGTCCTGGCCTGAGCAGAAAATCATCTTCCTTGGATGCCGTGTCTCTCGTGCCTGGCTTTCATTTCATTCCCCTTTGAACCACACGTAATTTCATAATATCTGCCATATCTATCGTTACCTATCCATTGGCAATTACTTAATGGACTTTTGTGAGTACATGATCACACAAAATGGAGTTAGGTAATATGAACATTTTTTTTTTGTCACTGAGGCAATCAGACATTCATTAGAATGAAGACAATTCTGTAGTCTCGGCACACATGTATGGGTATGACCTTATGATCCCCCTTTTATCCAAAATGAAAAGTTTAGATAACGTCTTGACAATTTGTTCGGGGGGATCATCCCCTACCTGCCATGATCAGCATGGGGAACAACTAAGGAAGAAAGGTATTAAGGAAAGTAACAAAAATTTTCAAACCTGGGACTGATATCTTCCCCACAGTCGGATGTTTCATCTCCATAATGAGGCCATTGTGCAACACCTTGAAATAATGAGAAAAAAAAAAAACAAGAAAAATAGTAAGAAAAAAAACTTACAAAATAAAAGTATTGCCAGTCTCAAGGGATGTGAAAAACCCTATTCAGTCCAGTGAAGGAAGGTATTACAAAACATAGAGCTGCTTGAAACCTTAGTGTGAAAGTAAATATTTGAAGCAAAAATGTTCATTCCATCTTGCATTAAACCAAGTGAAGCCAAAAAGAATTAGAAGACTCAAGGACTACCAAACCACCTTTTTATAAAGTCTTCCCACCTTAAAAATGTTACTTGATCCTAAATATAGGGTATGATTTTCCCTCCTTTCATCTATGCTTGGTTCTCTAAATATTAAAGCTCACCCACTTCCTGCCTCACCCTCAGAGCAGGACAAGGCCAAGGCCCGCCGCTGCACAAAGGCAGGAGGGGAGGAACCAGGACCTGCCGCAGAGGAGCCCACTGGAGTGGCATGGGCGCTCCTGGCAATTTATTCAGAGGAAGGTGTGGGGAGTCAATCCAGTCTGAAAGGAGAATCACAGTATCTAACAGCCCCATGACTGCTGGAAGTGGACAGATTCAGAGCTGCTGTGACAGTGAGCAGAGCCAGCTGACTGGGAGCCTGCAGAAGGCCCGGGTCAGAGGCCTGAGCAGGAGACTGAAAGCAGAGATGTGTCCAGTGGCACTATGACCCTAATCCTAAGACTAGGGTTCAGAACTAGCACTCTACTATCCCAGAGTTAGGGGAAGCTGGGGGCCAGAGAACTAAGGACAAAAGCCAGAGACCCCATCCTAGATAGCTGATTAGGCTCTCACACACTGGGACCAAGACAGGTGTTTGGTGCCCCATCAAGAACACCAGGTAGACTTGACCTCAAGATGAAGATTCAGGCCCAGGGACATTCCTTAGGGACCCAGCCAGCAGAAGTGTTCCTTGATGCTGGACCACTTGACCACTGAACAGACGACCTAAATCCCTGGCACACAGAGGCTGTAGTGCTTCCCATGGGGTAGACAAGAAGACAAAATCTGCCAGGGATCAAGTGCCCTGCAATGGTAGACAGAGGATGACATAAGGGCATGCAATTAGATTCTAGAAAATGAAAGTTGGATCATTGGAGGCAAATATTTTCTCCTGCACAAATGAAAGTGCCCCCAAGTTCTTTGCCTTAACTTGTCTTTTAACAACTGGAGGTTAACTTGTTATTCTGTCTCAAAGGACCCCAAATTCAATTCACTATTACTGTTACTATATCTTCAGTGAAACATACATGGGTGACTTACACATGGATCATGCTTTACCTACGCTATCTACCAAATGGAGGGTTGCTTCTTCCTGCTCTGTACATGGATCCAAAGAAGAGAAGTGATTCAGTGGCACAGTAAAGTTAGGAACCACAATTTCTTGCTCATATCGCAAACAGTAACAGTTGTAACAGCTCTATAGCATTTTGAACTTCAGGTAAAAGGAAGATTTGCATACCCATGACTTTATCATAATCTTTTCACAGAGCAAAAGAGCATGGAATAAAGAAACTAATACAAATGATTTTCCCACTTGGAAGTCTCAAGGAGAGGTCAAATGTCTTAGGTTTTATTCATTTCCAGTGAGCTTTTAGGTCACATTATGGGATCAACCATGGATAAGACAGCCTCACGGGTGACATTTCCAGGTGAGAACGAACACTCTGCTGCAGCTAAACACTCTGGCTTCCACTGTTGCCTTTGAGAACGGTCACCACGATGCTCCTTAAACAGTCATATCAAACCCCCGCAGTGAGGGGGACACCGTACCATATGGCGATCCTTTCTAGGGATGCCTTGCCTCTCTTGTGGAAGCACCAGCTTTGCACCTGAGAGCCGGCCAGAGAAAAATCTTGCCAGTGTTAGAACTGTGCTCTAATTTAATTCTGGTGTGGCTCGTTCTCAGCACCCACCCCGCACAGCCTCCTCCTATGTGGGGGTGGGGGCTCAATGCCAACACGAGGTGCTAAATCTCAGTTCTACTGAGGACAGGAACAAAAATACCAAGCTAAATTTCACTCGAAACAATTATCTGCACACTGAATCATTCTTCTCTTCTCATATCTCTATTGCCCTCCTGACTACCTCTTTGTAATAACACTGCAGTGCTACTCACAAAAGACAAAAGTGAGTGTTCTTAGCTAAATATAACTTAACTGATAGTGTTGAAATTAATTAACGCTGAATTTTAATCATGTAGGAAACGTTAAGTGTCAAACGTGAAAGGGTAGTTGGTAAAGGTCAAGGGACGCATGTCAAAGTTTTGTGAAGCAAGAGCTAGCAGCTGATCAAAGTTTTTCATGGAAGCAGCTTCAGTATGTGCTTCCTTCAGCCCTATCCTCGTGGCTGCTTGTATAGGATATTCCCAGCATGAAACCTTATCTAACTGTATTGATTCCTTTGCATTGAGATTCATTCAATTCTAAGCAGAAATATAAATTCTTCTCACGTCTGGCAAAGGGTAACTGCAGTTTCTCATTTGTTGTGCTTTTGTACAATCATGAGGCAAGAGGGCTAATTTGAACCCCCACCTTCAGAAAGAGCAGACTTAATCCCCAGCCTGGTTACCACACATTTTTTATGTAAAGTCTGAAGTCAGTAAAACTCCATAGGCTTTCTTTTGAATCAGGTCAGATTATCCTAGAGAACAAGTGAGGCTGTGGCAGCGCTGTCCCTGGAAACCTTGCCTGATGACTTGGAATCTTGGAAAACTCTCCAGCCTTGTTTGTTGGGCAAGTCCTGCTCTGTTTAGTAACATACCCGAGAATCTCAGAACCCAGGCGGTCTGTCTGAATTTTACCATCAATCTCTCCTGCTGCACTTCAGGCATCTCACCCCAACTTTGTTGGAAATGGAGGAACTGCCACCTTCACCGTATCTGTATTACACTTCTTTGGGAATGGCTACGAAACATTCCCTTTTCTTTTCTTATCCAGGCCTAACACCTCAATCTCTTATTACCTTAAGCCAGTAATTCAAATTCAAAGGCATCTTTTTCTTGCTAGTGCTACAATATAGACAGACCTTTTCTCCCTGCCATTCCTGCCATAGGCCTTTAAAAAAAAGACTTTCTTACTTTCACTTGAATTTTTCATTTCACTCAAATGTTGCATTTTCTGACCACAAAAGATGGAATGGGAACTTTAGCTTTAAGAACCTTCAACAGCATTTTCTCTACAGGAAGTGTCATGCCTTGAACTCCAGTCTGGCCATTCAGGGCATTATTTGATACATATTTAGCTATTTTTAAATAAGACAAGGGACCTTCCCTAGAACTTTATAGTAGATTTTGTCCTTCTTTTATTATTTTATCCTTCCTAGATCCTACTTCATGGTTTGGTAGCTCTTCTAAATTTCATTTCTTCTCCTTGAAATTTCAAAAGCCTCTTCTTGACAAGAATAGAATTGTAGACAGTGCACCAACCTCTTTAGCAAAGCATCAGGCCTATTTAAAATGAGGTCTCTCTTCTTCAAGAGCTTTACAGATTGACAGCCTAATGACAGAGTCAAATGGTAATGTACTAATGATGGGGGGAAAGAGTAAAATCTATACCTTAAAGTGATATGGGAAATAAAATTCAAGTGAAAGTAAGAAAGTCTTTTTTTTAAAGGCCTATGGCAGGAATGGCAGGGGGAAAAGGCCTGTGTTGAAGCACTTACAAGAAAAAAAAATTCAAAAAAATAAAAATGGATGCCCACTATATACGCAATGAAAATCTCTATGGAAAACATAAGATCTGAGTCAAGACAAGAAGTAGCTAGACATATTCAAATGAAAAGAGCCTGATCGAATGCTGGCACTAAACAATGAACATATATAATAAATGTCAAGACTATGTCAAAAATGGACACCATACCATTCCACAACATTAACAATGCTGCACAAAACAGAACTGAGCTACCCATGTACCACAAATAGAGATATGACCTATTCATTAAATTTAACAAAATCCCAGAGCACCATATACTAGATGATATGAAGGGGCTGGCAGTAAAAAAGATGAAAGAATTTGTGTTCAAAGTGCCTATAATAGAAGGGACAGTAGGGAATAAGAGACCCGAGCCAATTTTTATAATGCAGTTGAAGCTCCATGATGAAGCAGCAATGTCTAGAAGGTAAATAACTATCCACCTCGAAAGGAAGCCAAAAGATGTAGTCAAGGAGGTCAGTAAAAGTCATAGAACAAAGTTGATTGAAATAAAACATTAGGTCAACAGCTACAACGACAAACAGAATAACAGCAGCTATTGCTCAGCAAGACTCCTAAGGGTCAGGCATTATGTTCAAAGCTAAAGAACCATCTCCATTTAATCCTCTCATGCTAGGTAGGAATTACTATTCTCTGCATTTCTACTGATAAAGAGATGGAGGCTTAAAAAGATTAAGACTGGCCCAGGTTTAATTAATAAATGGCTGACCTTGGATTTTAATTTAGGCGTGTCTGACCCTAAACTCTTAGCTAGTTGGAGACTTAGTGAAAGAAAAATACAGAAGAGCATAATTTGATTTACTGTTAAAATAACTAGCTAATGTGGTCAATTCTGCAAAACAAAAAATTAGTAAATTCACTGGGGAAAGAAAATCAGCCAAACAGATTGCTTGGCACTATGCAGCCCAATTAGTTAATAAACAGAACTGCTCCCTTATAGATAGCCCAGGATATTCTGAATACCACAGATACAAAGGCTGTGAAAAGAGGAAGGATTTTGGCCACAGCCTAGCTCAGATTTTAAAGGGGACAGAACCAGCGGGTGACCTTCTCAAGGCACATAAGTACTCTGAGGCTTAATCCCTCAGGACCCTCTTCAATAAAAAGGGGTAACAATACGCTTTTCTCAGTTGTTTGTAAGGATTCCATGAGATGATGAGTATAAAGCAGTGGGCACAGGGCCCTGGACAGAGTCAGCTCAAAATAAATGGCAACTGTTTATCATTAACAGTAGACTAGATCCAAACCCTGGCTCCTCCAAGGATGAGCTGTATGA